GCTTTGGAGAGTCTGGACCAACTGACATGCTTGGCATGACCTTAACAAGAGGAGCTATTAAAGTGTGACTAATATGAAAAAGAGAAAAAGCACTGAATGGGCTGCATCTGTCTAAAATCATCACTGATCTAACAGTTCTTCAGGGAGACTAATGATACATTAGAAAAACAAGTATTAAACACAGTTGAAGCAACAATCAGGAGGTAGAGAACAAGCCATGGTCCCACTCAGAATCGGAGTGGCTGTTCGCTGCCAAACACACTGAACTACTTGCACATCTTTGAAAACAGACGGACAAGTGCTTTACCCTGGGCACAGGGGTTATCGCTGGAAATTACAGCTTCTGTGTTGGCTCAGGCAGTGTGAAGAAAATAGCATAACATCAGCTTCTATGGACAGTGCCCCCCCCCAAAAAAAAAAATACCATTTGCTCTTCAACATAAAGGTGCAAGATTACACTTTGCTAAAGTACCAGAAAAGAAGCCTGATTGACACTGGGAGCACCTCCTTCAGTCAAATGGGAATATTTTTGATATTTTCCTCTGATGAAATTAGGGCTGCCACAAACGATTATTTTGATAGTCGACTAGTCACCGATTAGTCAACTAATCAGATCATCATCCATTGGACGTACAGCGTTCATCTTATTGCACCAGCAGCATCTGCTCTTATATAACTATCATTAGCTTACAGCTTTAACTGTTTAAAGTATGTGCTAACTAAAAATAAAGACAAGATGGTGGTTTATTAAATTTTAATGAAATTTGCAGATTGTTTCGGTGAAGTTTAATAAACTCCTTGCTATCTAAAATATAACAGGACACCGGAGTATATTCTGGAGCATCTCACACATCTGATAATCAGCTGTCTGCTTGACGTTTATTCAGATGTGTAAAAACTATAAGTTTAATCTCAGCCAAACCGATTTACTCAGGAACAAATAAAACACTAAAAAAAGCCAAACAATAACATTTTTAAGTTATCTAAGTGACTTATATATATGTTTAACCTGAGTAGCGAAAGACAGCGGTGGGTTTGAAAACGATCTGCCAGGAGTCCGGTGTTCTCACGGCTCTAGTGACCTAGCCCCCGGCTAGCTATCGAGCTAGTGGGTAACAGACGTCTCCGAAAACGTCGGAGCGCTTTTGAAAATATGTGGTGTCCTGATAAACTGAGCAGATATTTGAGGTTTACACAGCTACATTCTCACCGGAAAATATGTTAAACGTTTATTTTGTGACCCAGAAAGAATAATAAGAGTAATATTAAAACCAACTAGCTGCTGCCATTGTTGGAAACTGAGCAGGGCCGCGCTACGAATTCTGGGACACAGCTTCTTCTTCTTCAGGGTTTAACGGCAGCTGGCATCCTTGTACATGCAGTGCTGCCATCTTCTGTTTCAGTCCGTTATTACACTCTTAAATCCTGCTATTATTCCTGCATCTTTTGGGATCTTACAAAGCTTCAAACGACGCGTCGACTATTAAATTAGTCGTCGATGATTTTGATAGTCGATGTAATCGTGGCAGCCCTAGATGAAATCCAGCAGGCTATACATGAACCTGCCCAAGACTGCCACAGTGAATGCATAGTCATAAGAGTAAAGAATGGAGGTGGAAATAAAGATGAGATGGGCTGCACGGACACAAAAAGTGTTGGAAGAGGACACAGATGTCACCGTGAATGCCTGAGGATATGACAAACTCCCGTCAGACGAGATGACCTCCAGCCTCCAGAAGCGCGGCAACAGAGGAATATTCCTGCATGATAACAATCTAAAGCACACAGCAGACACACTGTGATGTGGTTAAGTACGTCACCTAATGTCAATCCAATATACCTTTGGAAGATTTTAAAGAAAGGCAGAGCAACATAAACCCTCCAGACTGTCTATGAATAATGGCAGAACACTTCTCCAGATTTGGCGCCACATAAAAATCGATGCGAAAGACGATTAAAAAAAGAAAAAGAAAAGTCAGTGGACAAACAAAGTATGGAAGAAATAAAAGATCCAAGTTTACATGCGAGTAAACGCTCTGCTCAGCTTAGAGAAACACATTTCCAGTAAGGTGACACAGTTCTGAATAATCAGTCTTTTAGGTGATATTGCACAGGGCTGTACTCCCACGTTTGACACTTTATGTTTACCTGCATGCTAGGTTTATTTCGCTCAGTTGGAGGAGAATCCGTGTATCAAAATAATGCATTGCAGAGGCAAGTATAAATTAAATTACTGACATTTAATCAGAGAGGTTTATGGTGATGTAGACTTAAAAATCAAAGTACGTACAGACATTTTTAGGCTTCTCAAAGTTCTCCTAAGGTTTTCAACAGCAGTCAAATACAAGTAGATTAGGAGCAAAACAAAGAAGCTTTAGGAAAGAGATAAAAGCTACATAATAAATATGAATATAAATGAGCACAATGTCCAAATGAGGACTGACAGGACTCAACAGTAACCGCTCGTGTTTTTGCACTTTTGTTTTGTGGATTTTACAACAATTTTAAGGAGAATCATTAAACAGACATCAATAAAGACAGTGTTTAAGAATATCAATGATCTCTGTGGATTATATAACGCTTCGTCTGTAGAAGTGATACGCGTGAATGCACTTATCTGAGGTGCACTTCTGAAAGCAACAAAATAGTGGCTATAAATTGTCTATAGCAATTTAAAAACATGCAGGCAAGGACAGTGCCTGCCGGGGTCAGAATTTATTGGCGAGCCGTGTGTGAGGTTACACTGTGAGTTACGGGTGTGTAGCACTTACTCAGATGCAACTGTTTTTCATTTTTCGCACCCAAATGAGACAAAACACCAACACAGCCTGCCACTTATCTACATTAGACAGGCCCAATATGACCCAGACACACTATAACAATACAGCAATAATTATGTGACACCAATAAACACGTTGGTTCTCCTTTGGTCTGGAGGTGCCTCTCACTGTCAAAATCCAAGGAGAACCTGATGCTACGATGTGCTTTTATATTTTGAGGCACTCTGTGCTTCAGCAGCTTGAGGAACAAATACCCCGTTGCATAAAACAAGACCGACATTTTTAACTCCAGTAATCAGAGTTTGTCTTGGAGGAACATGAGCGGTCTGCACAGAGCCGGAAACTGTTCTGGCAACACAACGCCATCAGTTTTTGGGAATGCTGAGATGCTGCACAAGCGCTAATTGTACTGTTGTGTTGTTTTGTGTGTGTTCGCAGAGTTTTCAGCCATGCAGCCTATTTGTCAGCCACAAAATGAAAGGGTGGACTAACTGGCATTGTCCCGTCTAGAAAACTACAGGATTGCTGCTGTAATCCATGTCAGTGCCACCTTATCAGGCTGCATCAGAAACAATTGTATGCAAATGTTGGATTACTGTTAAATGCATGGCACTGATGTAAGCAGTATGTAAAATTCTCTCAAGCACACACACACACACACACGCACACACACACACACAGGGTATTTTAACATTTGGTTTAGTCAACTGTCAGAAAGCGGCTACACGCAGAGCTCTATGAGCAGTTACTGTAATTTTACAGCTGGAAGTGTCTATGCTGTGCTCATCACTCAACAGGAGACTATGGGTTGCATTAGGGCATGACGACAGTGGCAACTATCCAATCAAACCTTTTCAGTAAGTTTTCTTTGGGTGTTTTTTATTAAAACAGAAAAGAAAAGCCTGACAATTAATTGTTTTAAGCAATTTGGGGAATGTGACTTCTCATCCTGCGCTCCCAGGATGAGATGCGCTGGGCCGAAGAGCAATCTGGAGCCAAGATGCACTGCCACGCCGAGAAGTGATGAGAAGCTGACAAGGTTCAGCTTTTAAGTTGAAGCGACAACTTCTTAGTAAACACTCGCTTATTTACACATCATGTGTGTCGTTTAGTGCCAAGCAGGTAGTGTATGGCGAGCTTTTACAGCTTTAGGCTTAAACCCAAGCTTCCAAAACTGTGGGCTTAGTTTTTACACAGCTAAGTAATAAACTAAAACAAGTTATAAAGTTATGTGAAGCCAACCTCTGCTTCTCTGTTGCGTTATAAAATGTAAAAGAAAAAAACCCACATGGGGTATAAAACCATACTGAATGTTGAAACCTGCCATTTTCTTAACTTGAACTGACAACTTGCTGAACTTGACCTTGTGTTTCTCAGCAGTAATGGTAATGGTCCTTCTTGTCTGAATTTACAAGTACCACTGGAGAAAACATTTTCAAGACCATGTGCTGCTTCTGCCTCCTTCCTTTGCCGTGAAGTGAAATCCATCTCCCAAAAGACTTCGGCAAGTTTGCAGAGGTTTCTGTTTTTGCCTCTCGCTTCATCGGCGCCAACTAATATTCAGTCTCTCTTATCCTAAATTCTTGGCGAAGCTCCCAGGATGAGATGCGCAGGGCCGAAGAGCAATCTGGAGCCAAGATCCACTGCCACGATGAGAAGTGCTGTTTGTTTATTAAAATAAGAGCACATGTACCCCAAACAGTGGTAAACAAGACCTCAGCAACACGGTTCAACAATGTTATCCAACAAAACACTATTAGAAACCTGCGCCATCAACCGGTCAACCATCAGTCGACTATAAACTTAGCAGACACTTTTAACAAATCGAGGCCATCTACAAATCCGTTCTCACCGCTTTGTTTTGACAAGTGTTACTTCCAAGGTTATGAGAGAAATGTTAAGTTACATTTTCATCCAAATCAAAATGGATGACAAGTCCCAGAGGCAAGCAAAATCATGACGGTTTAATATCGGTCGTTCGGTGGCAACGAACCAAATTCAATTTGCTGCGGATGATCATTCAATATGGCTGAAAGCGAGTGAACCTGGAGTCCACACAGTTTTCTTAACAACAGTTTCAAACTGTCAAGAAACAAAATCAGACCGGCAGTTTTTCTCCAGGTATGATGCATGAGATTGGATTACACTGCCACTGAATACAGAGTGCAGCTTTATCACATTTGCACCACATATAAATGTAAGACATCGGCCTCCCCATGGTTCAAACAAACAAATATAGCACACCGACGTGCTGTAAAAACACACAGAAGGTACCGGGAGAAGTGGATAAATATAAAATGAGTTCAAGTCAAAAGCTCTAAAAACTAGCTATATTTTGGTGTATGAAAGAGAACAGCACTTTCCATCCTTCCTCTTTGCATGATGGAAACAAAGAACACCACTAAGTACTTTCATTGGATGGGATGGAAAAGTTCAGCAGGGGATGCATCTGGGATAAGAGCAAAGAACAATACCTGAGTTATTTTAGACTGAACAGAGGATACTATGGATGAGGACACTGCCTTGTCTTTCTCCAGAGAACCACCCCTGAAAAGAAAACAGAGGAGAAGGACACAAAAGAGTCAAAAAGCATAAAATCAATCATGTAAACAGGAGAGAACATTCAATATTTATGATGTTTCTCTGAAATGCCCAAAGTTCGACAGGCATCGAGAGCGATAGAAAGAAAAGATGGAAGGAAGGAAAGAGGTGAAAGAAGTGTCCTGTAACACTGAAATATCCATCTAGAGCTAAAAGACCAAACACAGACAGAGTATTTAATCATGCAGACAAATTTCAGGCCTCAAGTTCAGCTTCACGGCTCCTTCCGAAGCTTAAATGTCTCTACAGTCCAGCATTTCATAATTCATCAAGAGATTAAAAAAAAGGAACAAATCATGTACAAGTTGATTGAACACAACAGGTGAACACAACTGCAGAAAAGACCGCTGCTCATGATAAAAATTTTAGCTTTTCTTCCTCTCACCAAGATGGAAGATTTCAAACGTTTGTGCGTGTGCACGGCACTCAGTATAAAGTACTACCTGCCCCTCCCGCTGTTATTATGGCATCATGATCTAGTTTCCTTTCCCTGGAGAAAGTAAACAGCAAAACCTTTCATGCTTTCACCCACAGTTTAGGAAGAAAGGACAACAAAAGACTGTCTTCTATTGGAATGACTCCTGCATCTGCCAGGATAATTGCGCCCCACATGAAAAGACGAGCATTTACTAAATCTATGGAAGAAAAAGCATTCTCCTTCGTAACAAAGCACATGAGACGGCTGATATACTGGTTAAGCAGAGCTTTTAAAAACATTAAATTATGGTGCATGCAATACTTCAGTTTGAACATAAAAGGAACTGTTGTGTTTTTCCAATTTTGCAGGAGTCAAAAATATTTACATTGTTTCCTGTTTTCCCAGAAGCCTGTTTTTTAATGACGGCAGATTTTAAAAGTTATGCTGGGTTACACAAACTAAAGACTGAAAAATTAAACTTTTAAACTACAAAACAAGTGAACATCCACAAACGCACTGGTTGGTATCAGCTAGAAGGCATGACGCTTAAAATCTGGAAACTTTGCAATGAAACTTTGGAAATAAAAGAGGTGGAATTTAAAATATTGTTATTTTGTAATTAACAGGCTCTATTTACCAACAAGCCACAAGTTCATAATGAGTCCTTCTCTTTTAGTAAGATATTGAAGTGAACAGAGTGCGCCTGGCCAACATTTAGTCTTCTTGCATTGAAAAGTCAACACGCTGCTAAAGTGGCAGACTACCAACTGCAAGTCTTATCAAGTCTGTGGCCAAGATCATTAATGCGCTTTTGCCCTTGTGACCTTTAAGCTGAAAGACCCAAGCTGTGCGCTGTGATATCAGGAGAGCAAACACTGTTCAGTAGAAGGAGTTTAGAAACAGAAAAAAACAACAACAACAACATAAAAATAAACATTTCTAAACATTAGTCAGTGAAAAAGAGTGCATCAGCATAGCCTCTGTTAGGTTCTTAAATCGGCAGCAGCTGGAGTGTTCGATTATCAGACCTAAAGGAACAATCTATTGTTGCAAATAAGAGATTTAAATGCAAGAATACATCTTCTCATTTACTTGAAGCTAAAACAAAAACAAAAAAAACCCAAAACAAAACATTTAAGCCTTCAGTAAAGAGACTTTCATTTACATCTACATGCTGGATGCAAGCTGGATTATTGACAAGCGTCTGGAGGGGTTACCTTGAGTGAGCCAGGCTGGAGGCGGGGCTCGCTGATGGAGACAAAACTCTGCCGGGTGAAGAGTATGGTGAGAACGAGGAGGCCGCAATTTGCATCTGTCCTGAGGATGCCAAGGAGCTCCTCTGCTGTTCAGGAGGAGACCTGACAAACGCAAGAAGAGCACAGCAGGAGCTAAAAACTAAAACGTCTCAATCAGATATTAACACTGCACAATAAACAGTGGTGGTTTGTATCTGCCAAGCCTTGCATGAAATATTGGTGTACTCAAAACAAAATGTACAAAATAAACGTCTTTAATTATAATTTAACTGAGCATATGAACTGCTGTAATATACACCCTTAACTTCACAGGCCAATTAAACTCTATTTAAGAGGCATTTTGCATAGTTATTCCCAGTCTCTTACTCTGGTTTGAACAATTCCCTGCAAATTTCATTCAGTTACAAGATTTTTGAGGATTTTCTTGCTTGTGCTGTTGTTTGTTTATAATATTGTAATATTAGTATTGCCTTGTGGTAACAGCTAGTCCATTTCATAAGGCTTCATTCTTTCATCATTATCGTGATGAGAGGTCTGTTTCTGGTTCAGCTCTTTCTTTTGGACGGATGCCTTAAAAATCTTTAGAGACTCTTTGGTATGTTGCAGATTTCCCAGGCGAATCAATGACAGGAGGCTGCCCAGTGCCTAAAGCAGTGAAACGCTAGTGAGCATATTTTCTTTTTAAAAAGACTGTACTTTTATTTTTTTGTAACAATGCCTATTTATCTGTCGGTATCAAGCGACTGTTGTACAATTATAAAGAGAAAACTATATTTACTGGGATGAACTCTGCAGTGCATTTGCCAAAACTTCCTCATGCCCTCCCCTTTTTGGGGAATCAAACTGTCTTCTAGTTACATGAAGTTGGCCTTAATGACACATGGAAAACCTTGAACACTGATAACGGTTCCCCCGCTGCTTTTGTAAAAATAAAGAAAACTGAAGAATATCAAGAAAATATGGACTAACCACCCAAGAGTCGCATCATTAGTGCCCCTTCTCAGCTTTAAAGGCAGCAAAAATCAATGTTTTTAGTGTGAAAACAAAGCTGCATGTGAGGACCTATGACTTGTGAAGACACCTGCTGTTAGATTTACCTGGATCTTGAAAGCCCCCTGGGCAAGTTGGAGCTGCTGCTGGGATGATGGTGTTCCCGCTCTTTCTCCTCGCGTCTCCTTTCTGATGAGTTGCCTCTTCTGTCTTTTCTCCCTGGGGAGTGTGAACGGGATCTGGACAGAGAGCGGAACAAAGAGAATGAAAGATGGAAGAAATCGTTAAATATCAGAAGGCAGAATATGAGAGAGAAGCAAATGAATTGGAAATAAAGAAAAAGAGGAGAAGAGTGAGGCAAAAACAAAATGATAAGCCTAATGGCGTTAAAGTGAAAAAGAAAAAAAAGGCGACATGAGGGCTTTGCACAACTGAAAATGAAGAAAAGATAGGTTTGAATAAGACTTTCAATTATTTCAGTAAACTTTTGGAATACCTGAACGTGGTGCAATTTACAGATAAACACTGTTTAAATACTGAGGAACTGAACAGGAAAAAAAATCATTATTCAGTTCATTACTTTAATACAAGTTATATAAAAGGACTCACAAAATGGAAATACTACTTTTATTCTTAACTAGGCAGAAAAGCATTAAGTATTCATAAATATTTTAAGAAATTAATAACCTTGTCAGATTTCTTTCCATAAAGGGCAGTCAAATTTATTTTGTCCCACTGCCTAATATGCAGAACATGCATGCAAAAACACGGCATACAAACACAGCATAGCAAGGCTGGAAAATGAAACAACCAGGATAAGATTAAGAATACAGCCTGTGTGTGTGCGTCTCTTTCCTATCACAATGTTCTAATAGTTGAACCTCTCAGTTCAGTTATCTTGCTCAAAACAAACAAACAAAAAAAATCCCCAAACCCCACAAATCTGTAGAAAGGCAGCATAAACTCAAAGCAAAACATAATGACAAAAAAAGAAATAACAGAAGGTATTAAAAGCTTCTTTTCAGCCGCCTGTGGCTGGAGTGAGCAGCATCACTGTTGCATTCACTCTGACTTTTTTGTGGTGGATTAAAAGAAATAAAAAAAGGCTGACTTTTCAGTGGGAGCGTCTTACCTGGACCTGCGGGATCTCCTGTAGGCACTGGGAAGGGAGTGTTTGCTCTTTGATCTCGATGCTGACCTGGATCTTGACCTCCTCTTGTGTTTTTTCTTCTTTTTGTCTTTGTCTCTCCCTTTGTTCCTATCCTTGTCTCTGTCTCTCTGTCTGTCCCTGTCTCTATCTCTGTTTCGATCTCTGTTTCGATCTCTGTCACGATCCCTATCTCGATCTCTGTCTCGATCTCTGTCTCGATCTCTGTCACGATCTCTGTCACGATCTCTGTCACGATCTCTGTCACGATCTCTGTCACGATCTCTGTCGCGTTCTGGACCTTTGGAGGAGGTAATATACGAGGAAGATGATGACGAGACGGATGGGGGCTCCCTGCTGTGGTGGCTTCTATGGTTCTCCACAGACAATCTTTGATCCTGAGCATAAACAGGTGGTGCAGGGGATACTTGAGGAGGTGCAGGATCCACAAAAGCAGAAAAAGCTTCTTGCAGCTAAAGAAAGACAAAATGAGGACAGAGAGCAAACAAACGTCAGTTTTATTTTGTTGTTTATTTCCGCCCACATGCACAGTACCTTCCTATATCTGATATTGTGGACAATTAACAAGCTTGTCTACTTAAAAAGATGAAGGCAATGGACAACCCTAGCTGGAATGTGTTTACCCCAGCTGGGGGAACACTGTGCAAGTAATTAGGTTAACTGGTGACAGATCAGTAACATAACTGGGTATTAAACGAGCATCTTAGAGAGCCATTGTTTCTCTAAAAGACAGGCAGAGTTTCACCAATCTGCAAAACACATACGTCTACAAATCGTGGAACTATTTCAAAATCCATGTTTCTCTGTACAACTCTGAAGACTTTGAATATATAACATCAAAAGATTCCTGGAATCAGTATTGGATGCTTGTGATCTTCAGGGCCTTGAGTGGTGCTACATTAAAAACAGGCATAATTCTGTTATGGAAATCACTGCATGAACACAGCTCACCGTGACATTCACAAATGCAGGTGAAAGATTTATCGTGAACAGAAGCCACAGATAAACATGAACCAAAAACGCCACTCTGGGCTAAAGCTCATTTAAAATGGACTGAGGCAAAGTGGAAAACTGTTGGTCAAATGAATTTAAATGTGAAATGTCTTTTTGGAAAACATGAATGCTCCGTCCTCCAGACTAAAGAGGAGAGGGAGGATGTGGCTTTTTCCAAAGCAAAGTTCAAAAGCCTGCATCTCTGATGGTAGCTTGCATATCTGGAAAGGTGCCATGAAAGCTCAAAGGTATATACAGGTTTTAGAGCAACATATGCTCCAATTCAGACAACAACTTTTTCAGGGAAGGTGTTGCATATTTCATATCATTCCATATTTACATCTAGATGAGGCCTTTCACAGCAACACATTGCTCAACCGCATACTGCACCTATTCCAACAGCATGGCTGCCTGCAGTCCACACCTTGGACCAGCTGACAGCATTCGTTGTATCACTAAATTTACAATCCCAGAAGTCCCACAATTGTTGAGCAGTTGGCTACTATCAGACAACAATGAGACAATAGGCCTCTCTCAAAGGGGGGGGGGGGTTGCTACACAGTGGCCTTGTCCCACGTTTTTTGACACATGTAGCTGCCATCAATTTTAATATGCCCTTTTAAAAAACAAGAAAAAGAGAAAGGACATATACTCCTAGAAATATCTGATATATTCTCTGTTTTATATTGTAAGTAATGATTGTATTTTGTTTTTATTCACATTTACACAGTCACACAAACGTTTTGGAGGTGTGGTTGCATTACACTATATTATGCTATAGATAGCGGAGCTACCACGGGAAATATAAGGGTAAAATATGCCTAGTCTGTATTCACGTATGGTGGTTAAAAATGCTTTAGATAAATTTGATTAATTGTTTTCTTAATTTTCTAACTTGACTTATTTTCTGCTCTAAGGCCTACAGCTGCACAGTGTCTAAAATCACAAAAGGTGAAGAAGAAAAATGTACTTGAGGTTTTTTTTTTCTCTCTTTAGAGACGGTACTATAAATAGTCATATGCACACTGAAAGGGACAAGGGATTGTAACAAGGCTGGCTCAGGAAAAGTGAAAGTTTCTTACTCTCCTGGGAAATTATTGCTCATATTCTCTCCTTTAAAACAGAAGGAAAACTGTGGTTACACAACACAGTGCAGCCCTCTGGCTACACACTGAGTTACAACTGTCAGCTGCAAAGTGCCTCTAATTACCCCAGTGTGAGTCAGTCTGTTCATTTTAGATTGGTCAGCTGCTGGATTCACACTGAAAAACTGGCTTCAGTCCATCAGCGGATTAAATATAGCAATAGATTTTCCAAGGACAGACTTTATCTAACAGGGTTAGGTCTTAGATTGCTCCTGAGACGGCCAATTTTAAATTTGTGTATATTCCTGGTACTAAAGGGGCATCTGGATGAAAAGGAACATCAAACGGCATCCTTTATGTGGTGAGATAAAAAAAAGATTATGAGCTCTGCAATAAAGCAATCCAAATAAATTTTTCCAACTTCAGCTTAGTATCAACAGAGCTGTCTCATGGATCTAATTCCCCTCACCCATCTGCTAAAATTTGTAAGAAAACAGAGAGAAAGGGACAAAGAGAAATATGGGGTGAGAGATGATGATGATGAAACAACATGAGAGAAGAAGCCAAAAAAATAGAAAGAAAATGTGCTCATGACAGAAGAAAAGAAGCGTCTTAAAACAGACAGAAGCAGAGAAATGGAGGATATTTATTACACTGCAGTTTTTACACCCAATCTGGTGTCTAGCTTGAGGGAAAGATAATGAAATGATAGGAAGAAACGATGGTTTCAAATTGGGATTGGCATATGGGAGGCTTATCCCAACACCAGGCACACAAAACGTCTGCCCTCTCACACCTGTTCTAGCAAGATATAGAAGTTCAGACAGTAAGAGGCGCAGGAAAGAAAAGTACTGTCCTGGGAGCATAAAGGAACAGAAGCAAAGGGAAACTACATTTTCCAAGTCTTCGAGATTTCTCGTATACTAAAAATGACCTCATATATAATAATAAAGAAAGCATTTATCACCTAAACCATGTGACCAACAGAGAAGAGCTCTTACACAGAGAATGGTCGTATATTAAGCTGTCAGTTACTGAGCAATCATTATCTGCTACTGTTGGTAGCCAGTTAGGGGACCGAAAACAATATCACTGCCTCATTATTGCCCTCCATTTCACTCCTCTTACCAACAGAACCAAAAGGTGCCATCTTTAGCACTAACATGTTCGAATGAAGCTGTAAGAGCAGCTGAATTGAAATAAAATGGTAAATGGTCTGTATTTGTATAGCGCTTTACTTGGTCCTAAGTACTCCAAAGCGCTTTACACTATACACAATCATCCACCCATTCACACACTGGTGATAGCAAGCTACAGTGTACAGAATTAACACACCAAATCAGCTGAACAGATAAATGACACAAGCAAAGCCAGACTGAATCTGCACCAATCTCTGAGTATATCAATCTGCAGGAAACACAAAGCTACATATCCACCACCGTCACCATTTCAGCCAAAATGTAATAAGAAATGGCTAAAACGGCAGCAAATCACAACACTGAAAGTGTCACTTGGAAAAGGATAAATTGCCTGGGCCTGAAACGCTTAGCCAGCGGGATCTGTTTACTCATGTCAGTTTACACTATCCACTACACTGCTGCAGGATAATCAACATGATGGGTACTATGGGAAACATGGAGCGCTTACATCAACAGTTCCAAGTCAGCTCATTTTGCATCGCATCAGCAATCACATCTGTCCTCAAAGCTACTAAGAGTTCCACCAAATTGTACTAGTGGATGATCCTTCTTTGTGACCCTCCAAATTACTGCCCCTAGGATATTCACAACAATTCGTGTTAATCACATTAATCCCTTTCGATTTCCATACACTTGCAACAAATTCAGGTAAAATTTGTTCTTCAAAGTGACTCTCCAAATTAATAAATTGGTGAACATGTCTTACTTAAAGGAGGTTAATCTGCAAAAAGCTTTAATAGAAACTGAAAAACCTATTGACTCGAACAATTACACTGCACTACTGTCTGCCTTGAGGATGTGTGACTTTTTACAATGTCCTATTCAATGTGAACCTCATACCAGCATTACGTAGATTTTACTACTTTTTCCCACCACTGAAACAAAATACTTTGAAGACTGAATACACAAAAAAATTCAACCTTTTTTTTCAAATATTTAACTAGTACACAGCTAATTTACAGTAGGCTATTGGCCGGACTCTTTCCTCAGGATATTTACGCTCTGATAGCCACTGCAGAAGACGGAGAACATCTGGTAAAGAAAGAAAGAGCTGGCACAGTAGTGACAGCAGGCTGTCCGTTGCCACCTGGTCTAACAGGCAATATTCCAGTTCACCACAAATCAGTTGGGCTAACATGAGGAGCTGACATGCAACATCCATCACACAGACAGGCAATCTACACATCAAATGACCACTATCAGAGACTTATTTACACTATAAAGTATTGCTGCCTTTTTGTGACAGACAAAAGGCTTTAAAAATTTGCATTATTGCAACACCTTCGTAGTACTTCACAAAGGAGAATTTTAAAACAGAATCTCCGTACCCTACATGAGGTATGGAGATTTGAGAAATAGAACAAAGGAGTGAAGAAAAGAAGTTTTCTATAATTCAGTTTGTATCTTTAGAGTGACACTGGGATATGCCGATAGGCTCTGCTCCTCTCCATTGGAGTCTATAAACATTTTAGGGAATCAACAATTTAGGTAACTACAGCTGCATTAAGAAATTTACATACATTCATCACAGGCATGTATGTCAGCCTAATTTTGGGCTTTTAATTATTTTTTAACAGTTTTCCCCCCGGCTGGAATGAGTGTACAGCAGACAGCTTTAATGACTAGGAAAAAAAAACTGGGTGCATTTTGTACTGTATTGTGTATTTTGGATTTTTAAATTATTTGTCTTGACACAAATGCTAGAGTTTATCAAAAGGTGTTGGTTTTTCAGCACGGGCCCAGCTTTTAAGATCAATCCACATATTTTCAACAGGGTTGAGGTTGTGGATTTGGGAAGGACATTCCAATAGCTTAATGAAGGCCTGCTTTATACAGTCCAAAATCAGTTTTGATGTATATTTGGGATCATTGTTATGGTGGAACACCTGATACTGGTGTTTCTACCATTTATCGGTGAAGTTGACGAATTCGGAGGTAGTCATCTCTCTTCACTACTCCATCCACTTTGTGCAATGTATCAATACCACTGGCAGCAAAACAACCCCAGAGAATGATGCTACCACCACCACGCCTAAGAGCTGGTACAGTGTTCTTGGGTTTGAAAGGCTCACTGAGGAGAAATTCAATTTCACCACAGTCATTTATAAAGTTATACCAAGGACTCTAGAACAAAATGCAAAGAAAGTAGCATTTCCCACACTTTGAGTAAGAATAACAAAGCTTAGTTTAGGACTCGTGGCTGTGTAAATATGCATGCAAAATGTGGTGACTACATATGGTGGGTATGTGCCCCACTATATTTATGCCATTTTAGTTTTTGAGTTAATGTAGACATGTGTAACATGAATAATGATTCATATTACACTTACTATCATTTGTTAAAAATAGAAACACACAGTGACGAACACTATGCAACCGTTGCAACCATTTACCTACCTCGAGTTGAGCACATGCATCTAGCTCAGCTCTCTTTGCCTCAGGTTCTCCAGCGAATGGGCTGCGGAGAGTCTGTAGGAAGAGTGCTGCCTTCCTCTTCCTCTCTGCCTGTAGCTGTTTCTCCTTAGACTCCTTAGATGCCTGGGCCAGCTTCTCCCTGGCTGCCGCCGCTAGACGATCCTCCAGTTTCTGCTTAGCTAAGTGACGAGAGATGAGAGGGTAAACACAGGAGACATGGTTGGATTGCAGGCATTGTCCCTTTTTTGTTTTTCTCACTGCCAGATATGCAGCTACTAAATGGCGGGAACAAAGGATTGACTTGCTCTGAGAGAAAAGGAAAGCTTGTTCTGGTCACAAGTAAATTCCCTGTGGAAATAAAAGAATTAAAAAGAAGAGAGAGCAGAGAGAGCAGAGAGACACGGAATGAAACATGAAGAGACAAACAGTGCGGGGAAAAATTCACATTTGTGAAGCGAAAAACAAGCAAAGACTTTAAGAGTACATTTCTGCCCTAACTAAGGTAATGTCTGGCATTTTTCTGACTTTCCAAGTGCTGAAGACTGACAAAGTTTCTACTCTAAAAGATAAGGCCCGACGAAATCCCCGATGATGCATAATTTCATGCAATTCAAGGTTTGTACAGAGTAGGAGGGAACGTGGGTGGAGAAGAGAAGACAGGCATCTAACTGACAATGGGAGTGGAACAAAATGCATGGTTTGAGAGATGAGGAAAGGAGATGAAGTGACACAGATGGGTAGGGGATACATAGGTAAGAAGAGCACAGCTAATGTAATGGGGCACAGGGAGCAACGGCATGAGCGAGCAAAAAAAAAAAAAAAAATAGGGAAGACAAGACAGTATAAGAGCAACTGCTTGCGGAAAACAAGCTGTATAAGTTATGCAACCTCTGGGTCTACTGTTATCTCTTTGGGGTTAAAAATAGGCCTGCTGCTAAGGCAAATCATATTTGAGTACAATGAACAACAGTCAAGTGGAGCAGAATCGGTACCCTAGACACTGACATAGTCCTGCCTAGCCTCAATCTGACTCCTGTATTTATAGATACATTTGACTAATGTAATAGAACAATAAAACTAAACCAAACTCCTTACTTCCGTTTACTTCCACTTCATCATTTGGAGCTCTGTCAAGTCGTTGTTTCAGTCATGTATCAGGTAAACCATCAAACATGATCTACCTTTAACTGTTTTTCTCGGTTTAACGCTTAAAACGTTGACATGAAGCCTTGTGACTGTTAAAATAAAAGTTTATTAAAGCCTTTCTTGACTTCTTGCAAAGAGCCAGAAGCCCAAAAAGTGAGGCAGCAGGCATTTCCTGAATTCTCCTAGCTGGAGGCTTCAGGTCGTCTTTTATTTCCTCCAACAAATTAAGAAATGTCTCGGCAATCGATATGTTCTGCCAAACACCTTCCTCGGGCATTTCAAATAAAGTACCTCAAGTGGAGAAAAATTCTCTTTCTTCTACCCCACACGCTCTTGTTCGTCACAGAGCCCGTTCTTAGCAGCAACTACTGCATTCATATCAAGCACAAAATGGGTTACGCTGCATTTTTGAGTGTTGGGGTGCACTCACCATCTTTAGTCAATACCAATTCCATGTGAATGAAATAAAATAATGAAATGAAAATTGTGTTTGTACAAAGACTAAAAACACACACATTTAGTCAAAAATGATGGCAGTCTGAACAATTTATGCAGCTCTCCCTAAAAACCGGACATGATGGCGCTGTTCCAGGCCATCAACACAGATTAGTGTTTTGCAGCCTGCCACCATTTCTCCTATCTGATCAAGTTAGGCCTGCTGACTGACAGCCACTTTGCCATACAGCAAAACCAATTCAGTCAGCTTTTTATTAGGGTCTTCTAGTCTTTCTCTTTTGTCTGTCAGCTCCAGGAGAGGCCATCACACTCCAAGAGTGTTCCACTGAACCTAAACGGCACCGGTCAACTATCTTGATGCTGAAAAGTGACACATTTGTCTTTGACTGTCTGTCCGTCTATCGTTTCAGGCTCCGTTCTGCAGCTAAGAGATTATTACTCTTGCTCTCTATCATCAGACATCAATGCGGCATTCTTACAGACGTAGATGTCTGTTGGGCATTAACTGGCAAAAGGCCGGCATGTCAATCACATCTCTCTGACAAGCACGGGGATAGACATTTAATAACACAGGTTTAAGTCATCAGGGAAGGTGTCCAGTTTTGCTGAAGCTAGGCACCGATTGCAGGTTTCTGAAGTTGGCAAATTATAACAAGATTAAAAAAAACAAAAAAAAACAAAAGAACTTCAAGTACATCTGTTTTCAGATTCCAATAAAATCAATTCATAAATACATAAATAAACGATACAGCTTTAAAATAAATAATCGAGTGGATAAAAAGTTTTTGAATATGTGACTAACCCTGAAAACTTAATGGGCAAATTCTTTTCTTTTGATTTTTAAAATCTTTCAATCGTTTTTGAAGAACATTCTGTAAAAACTATCATCAAAGCCCTGATCGGACCACACAGTGTAAACTTCTTGGAGAACAAAGGGGGGATTTTCTGTGTATGCATTAGGATGCAGTATTTCTATATTTTAGGCAACATATTTTCTGTTGGAAGACTTTGCTGAGCCAGCATGATGACACTCTATATCTATAATTCCATTATGCCTTTGGGGAAGATGTATATCATGCACTTTACTATACTATATAGCTAGATTCTTACCTTAGGGTACACCCTGTTAAAGGAATTCATAATTTAGACTTTTGTGGATTTATGCATCTTCTCACTTCTTTTTTTAAATTTATTTTCTACCAACCCTCCCAAAAAGCCAGAAGGTGTGAGAGAAATCACTTGGAAGCTGAGCTCATTTACAAAAACCTCACTTTTAGCAGGCCTGCATTAAATCGTCATCGAGCTGGGGAAATCATCCCGTTTTTCCAATATCCTATCAACTGTACAGGCAGTGGGGCAGTTTGAGAGCACGAGAATATTTTATGACTTGTCCAAAATTATTCTCCAAATATATTTTATACTGCTTTCTGTTGCAGACATGGATAAAATTAGCATTTAAAGAGCTACAGAGCTTTCATACAGTCATTGCATTATCATTTTTTTTTTAGACCTTTACCTTGCTTTGCTTCTAACTCCTCCAAACTGAGGGTGGGTTTCTTCTCTTCTGGTACGCTGACTGGAGGAGGCTCCTTATCAATCATCTCAGCTCCACCCATCACAGCTTCCAGCCCCTCCTCTTCTAACAACTTCAAGCAAACACATCAGAACTTATTCTTAAAAATGGTACTAAAACAAAAATGAGTTTTAAATGTGCAAAAACTACCCCAAGATCTAAAGTGAGTGCAATAAACAGACAAAGCTGAGCTAGACCTTGTCCTCATCCGAGTCATCGTCCAAGCGAACTCTGTTCTTCTCCAGTGGCAGCATGTCATTTTCCTTTGCCTTGATGGCAAAAGAGATGGGCGCAAAAGAGGCTGTAATGGCACAAAGACACGAGTTAAAATGATTTGAGAAAAGACCAAAAAGGATTCAGGTGAGTTGATATTGGAAAAAAAACAAAAAAACAAAACAAAACATTGCACAACTGGATTTTTTTCTTGACAAATCCAAGTTTTAAAAAAAAGTGAAGCATGGAAAACATTCAGGAGAGAAAAGACTTTTGAAAAATAAGGGACAGTCAATAAGAGCACAGAAAGACAGGTGAACATGAGAAAGACTGACATGCACAATGAAAGGTAGCATTTTATAATCAAATATCTGTGATCTACTGGAGATGAAAGAGATCTATTGTTTCCCATTCCCCCACATAACCTTAATACAAGATCCTGATTCTTATTGTGGAGGGCTGGATAGTTTACTTGTGCAACTAATCCAACTAGTTATTAGTTTTGCCTTGCGTGCACCCTGATATACTGCGTCTGAGGAGTCTGTGAATGCGGGCCTTAATTTGAATATGCGTGCATGTTTACGGCTCCCGCCAGCGTAGTGGTAAGCAGGCTCTTTCATCTTTGCATAGCCATTTCCGGCCTGATATTACCAAATGAAATTGCCCGCATAAATACCAACAGACTCACAGGCGGCAATGCAGAGACAACAGCATATGACACATACAAACATCCACATGCACACCAGAGCAAATATACTCATATTTCCCCAAAGGCTTTGCATCCCATTCACTGAAGTAATAAACTTTAAAAAAAGGGAGAGAAAAAACCGCCCAAAACAAAACAAAAAACGAAATGTGCAAGCAGCCCTGCGATCTGAGAATGAGTTTATTTTTGCATGAGTTTGTGTCCTACCTTTTGTCAACTTGGACTCCTTGGCTGCCTTGTCTGACTGAAGCTTAGAATCCTCTACCTCTTCGCTCTAGATGATGAAGCACGAGAGAATAAGGAGAGAAAATGAGAAAAGGATCATCCTGCTTTTCTTTAAAATGTTAAAAGCTAAGCCATTAACATTTTCCAGAGGCTTCACAAATTCTGTATGTCTAAACCTTGTTGCATTTTTCAGCAATGAGTCCACGTTATGGGTAAACCAGTAGAACACGAGACAGATGGTGTTGTAAATGGTATTTCTTGGGAACTTGCATGCCTTCATTTTTATAAAAGATACTGTAGATTTGATGTAAAGCAGCACAATGCAAAAAAAAAAGTTAGTGCTGGAAAGTTTTTAAAAGATATACCATCTATCCACTGTCGGTACAAGTAAACAATATTTAATTGGCTGGGTGGTTGAAAGAACCAACCTTTAGTGTTGGTGTATGTTATAGTCAAGGTATAAATTCAATGATGCATGGATCACTGAATGAGTCATTCCTGTGGTTTCCAATGAAACAATAACTCTTGTGTATAATTATTGTAATTATCCATCTGCAGGGACTTTCACAGTGCGCTAACTATTTTTTTTCAGGGTATTATAAAGTAAAACCAACTTGACAAGTCTGAAAGAGCACATTACGTTTTCTCCACATAATTTAAGTAGTTATTAGAAATAGTTCTCCAGGCTTCTTGCAGGACATTCAAAGCTCTTCTTTGGATGTTGGCTGTCTTTTGTTCTGTTCTCTGTCACTGCTTCAGTAATGTTGAGGTCCAGGCTCTGGGGAGCCCGATCCATGACTGGCCTGTTTTTCTGTCCAGTGTTTGGGATCATTGTCAGTATTAAAAATAAAGCTGTTGTTGCCAGTTAGACACTCTCCAGATGGTATTGCACGGTGGATCAAAGTATGATGGTATTTTTCTGTGTTGATGATTCAGTTTTTGGCAAGATCCCCAACACCACTAGCTAAAATGCAGCTCCAAACCATGACAGAGCAGCTACCAGTTTATACACGGCTTTAGATACTCACTGCAGGACCTCTCATGACAATCATCTTGTTACTTTTATAATACTATTGAAACTTGGCTCTTTTTTGAAGTCGTCTATTATATGTAGACAGAAAACTCGTTAATCCTTTGAGTTAGGTGCCTTTTTTAATGCTTGAATGCTTCATAGGTCAGTGTTAAGTGGCTTAACAAACCAAAAACAACATTCCTTTGAAAATGGTCGGTGCATGAAGAAAAGCTTTCAAAGACAGCCTGCAGAACTATTGCTCAAGACCACATTAAACAATTATAAGAAAGTCTGATTTCGTGGAAGCAAAATATAAAAGAATGAGAGGTAGCTCAAGGATACCACTGACAATAGCTCGGGAATGTGATGAGATGTCAACTTTTATTTCCCACTGAGCAAGTGCATAAGAAGAAGGAAATCATTAACTTGTGTGCAGCAGTAGTCCCCTAAGATAAGTGAGAGTTTGTTCCTGCACTCATGTCAACATCAGCACCTCTTGTATCTAACTAGAGAACACAGCACTTACTGGAAAATCATTGGTCCTTGAATATGGTTTGAGGGGGAAAGACACTGTTGACTCATATCCTTCAAATACTTTTGTTAGGAAAAAAATTATAGTAAGAAATTAGATAAATTAGAAGACAAAGCCTGTGATTTAACAAAGAATTCACTTTTAACTATTTTTAGTTTATTTCATTAGATAAATAGTCATTTAATTTCCTCAATTTTTCTATCAACTTCCGAAGCTGTATTCATCACAGCATAACCTTCTGCACTGCAAACTGTAACGAACATTTTCTTTTTGTTTTATAGCAGGAAAAAATTAAAAACAGATTTTTGAATATTAACTGATACACCTTAAGTAGTTAGGCATTTCATTGAGCACTCATTTCTCTGAATGATAACTTTTTATAACTCAAGATCAATTAATATCATTTTTACAAGTTTAATTTCACTTCTCGTTCTCCGTTTTCACTCCCATGTACTTAATTAGAATCGAAATTACACCCTTACGTTGCCTTCTAAAATTCCTCTGTTTGCTCTGTTACTCAAATCAACAGAGTATCTTCACAAAGCCTTTTTAACAGGCTTGTGTGCACAGACCAGATCAACAGAAACCCTCTGTAGTAATACCTGTGGACCAAGTGCTCTTAGCTGCCATCCCAAATTTAAACTACTGATGGGATGAGATGGAAAATTGATGATGAAGCCAATGCCACAGGAGGGAAAACCCTCAGGAGAAACATTTTATCATGTTTGAAGAATGCTTCAAAGGCAACTATCTACTATTCAGCTGTAATTGAACAGTGCTTTCAACAGTCAAAGCACTGTGAAACGCCCAGAGAATAAATCTTAAGGAAAAAAAAACAACTTTCAAGTCAAAGCTTGCAGAAGAAGCACACTAAAACATTCTGGAATAACCTCAATTGTAAAATGCAGGAATTTGATTGCTCTCACAATTACACCTTTAACTTAGCTTTTACGTCCTTAAGTAAACGTATCCGCAGGTAACTCTTGAACACAGAACAGTTAAAAGGGTAATAATCCCTCCTTTTCTGGTGCAACGCTCCAAACTTGGGCTACTCAAGGAAATTGGTTGGATTTCATAGAGCTTTATAGCAACACATTTTAATACTTTCCCACAGCCTACAATTGACCCTTTGCCAAACGAAATAGATTGAGGTCCCTGCTTTCATTCATTTCTCTGACTTGTTCCAAAAAACACTTCAGCCCCTATTGAGATTAAACTGTCAACTCAATATAAAAGTAAATTGGAAAATAGGCACAGCTATTGTGACATTTTGTTTTTGAAAATTAAATGAATTTAATCTCACATTATAGTTTTCTAGCAAATACAGAACATTGTACTTGAGGCGCAAAATTGATTAAATCATGGTTAATATAAATCAGAGGGAATGAAAACAGCTGTGCTGTAGACCTTACATGTGTATGTGTCAAGTGCTATGCATAAATTCAACCTGTCAGCTTGTAACCCTGATATAATATCCTTACAAATCTGACTTCAGTTTTGTTTTATTTCAAAAAAATAAATAATCTGTTCATGGTGCAAATTCTAATCCCAGTTAGACCGTCACTGAGATACTCCAATGTTTTATTACGTATTTATTTTTTAAAATTATAAGATGCTTCTATAACTGATGCAAAAATGAAAGCATGCATTCAAATAATGAAAGCTTGGGCTTTCAGAAGGTGTCACATTCAACATAGAATATCAACATAAAAGTGTGAGGAAGGTTTGGACTATTTACAAAAAAAACTCCTTTTAATATAATTATATTTATACACTAATAAAGTGAAGAAAATTTCAAATATTAAACATTTTATTGATACTATATGAAGCAACATTAACTTTTTTCATCAAGTATGAAACTACAAATAATAGCACTGACTGAGAGCAGCAAACCTCATCCCATTAGCCAGCAAAAAATAAACACAAGACAGATTTTCTGATAGAAAAAGCCAAGCACTGCTTGTTGAAACAGCCTGTGCTGTGTCATAATGGACCACACTTCTTTGCACTCTGACAAGCTAATAAATTTGATTTGACATAAAACAAATCGCTCCTTACAAAATTCACTTACTTCTTACCATTTCTTTCTAGCTCTGACATAAAGCCAATATATAGTATATGAAATATGCTTATGTATTCATATGTATGAAGGATCTCTCCATCCATCCATTTCACTGTTGACATCACAGAGGCACCTCCCGGGAGCAAAAAAAAAAAAAAATGGACTGGTAGCGATCTGACTTACAAACAGATGAGAGGACACCAATGCTCGGCTCGGAAACTCGAAAAGCTCCCAAGCTGAGGGACACCGAGCATGTTAAGCAATTTCTTAGTAACTCAACTTAACATCTTATTTTTTGATTGCTGTAAAGTACCAGATGAACTCAAAGTGAATCAAATTTCTAAAACATGGGAGACATTTCTGGTAACAGGTGGGATTATCTCAGCAGCAAAACTTTGAGCTTTAGAAATGTTGAAGGTACAGACTGAAAGACAAGTTAAGCTGCTGAGCTAGTGTACTTTGCTTCTCAGTAGGATGGCTGGATCCACCTCTTGTCATTTAATCTCTTCCTTGTTCCCTGCGTTATCCTCATTTATCAATTCCAAATTCTGGTTAAAGATATCTGTAATGGATACGCAACAAAAGGAACTAATTTCAAAGTTGCAAAAGCATTAATTTAAGAAAGAAACTACAAATAAGATGACAATAATCCCAAGCATACCTGAAAACCATGAACTACATCAAGAAGCACAAGCTGAGACTCCCCAGAGCTCTAACTTTAGATCTGCAGGCAGATTTTATAGACACTGAGGGCAAGACAGACTAAAAATATCACATATGGAGCCCATCCTTCAAGCGCAGCTGAAAATTCTAAGATCAACAATACACGGGGAAGAAATAGTAAGAAAAAGGAAATGATGATACACATACTGAGGAGATTTCGCTTAAAGTCAAGTCTGATTAATTGATTATCAATCTTATTTTGTTTGTGTAGCATTTGTCCCTACTCTAGCACATAATGTCTTCTTTGGTACTTTCTATTGTGCATTTAATGTTGTCGCTCTGGATGAAATTTAAAAACTTTCCATTGGTTTGGTTTAGTGATTTTTGAAAAATTAGTCACACTGATCTTTCTGTAAGAAACATTTCTTCACAGTCTTTGTAAAACTGCTTCTAGTCAGTGTCCATGACAGCACCGCTGCTTGTGAGCCACAGCTTTATTAAGCTCTTAAGGGCTTTATGCGGTAATCTTGATCATTTATGGATCTGTAGCAGTGATGCAAATGAGAGAACTGCTTCAGTGCAGTCATTATTAACTGTTATAATTCATTATTATTCATTATGTAGGAACAATATTTAATACTTAGAAGTTTCATGTCTGTAAATGTACATATACCATTAACCAAACCACACACCTTGCAGGGTATTAAAAAAATAAGTAATTAAAGTTTTGATTGAAGGAACCATTGTTACATTAATGTTAAATGGCAAAGAAAGATAAAGAGAGTTAGATTAATACGCACAGAAGCATAATGTATACAGCGCAATGCTTATATTACCTCTGGCAAGCCTTTTCCTTCCTTTTGCATGAAGTATTTCTTCTTAAATTCGTAATAGGTGTTGTATTGATGCCAGGACTGCAGAAATTCAAACCTACAGTGCACAGAGAGAAGAAAACATACAAAGATAAGAGGCGAGCGCTCAGAAAAATGAGCCGGGGGATGATAAAGAGGTTATGCCATATCTGATGGCAAAATTACTAACAGGAGTTCCTAAAGTGAGACCTGACTGGAACAGCAGAAAACTTACCGCGGATCATTCTTGGCACGGACGCTCGCCTCAAACTTCAGACCATTTCTTGCAACGTACTCAGCCAGCTTGTCTATGACCGGCTGGATGTCGGGTGGTGGGGGAATGATGGCTGCTGCTGATGGGGTGGAAACTGGAAGTTCAGCTTTTGAGCTGTTTGGAGGGGAAATTTAAGATGTGAATACAATTTATCTTTGAAAGTTTCAACTTTTAATATGGCATCATTTTCATTCTTGTATTTAAATACACTATGCAATAATTGAATTTAAAATGTAATTTCAGACAAGATAAGCAAAACACTAACTTAGCTTTTTGGGTAAATAACAGTCATCATTATGCTTGATCAAGGTTCTTAAAGAAAACACATTTAATCATTTCTGATTAAGGCAAAATTAAACTAACTGATGTCAAGGCTACCATAAAGAAAAGTGAAAAGCGTTTCCATGCAGTGTCAGAGCCCACCTGATTTCTGGTACACTTGCTGGAGGAACAGAGCTGGAGTCCTGAGTGGGGGCTGTAGCTGCTGTTGCTACTGTGACAGTTTCAGCAGGGGTGGGTGCAGAGCCCAAATTAGCCACGGCCTCGGTAGAAGCAGGTGGTGCCATGACAGCTGAGGTCATATTGTTATAGTATGAGGTGGCATCTATACCTGGGGGAGGCGGAGCTAAGCAGAACGATCCATCTGGCAGCATGTAATATCCATAGTACACTGCTGCTGAAAACAATTGAGGCAGGAATTAGATCAAATACACATGCCTCCAAGAAACTATTTAACTGTGTGTGATAAAACAGAAACAACACCCCCACCAAAATGAACTAAATATATCATATATTGTAAGTTGATGCCTCTTTGTTAAGAAACAACTTTCACATTTATACTCAAACATGCTGTAGCCAGTCATATGAACATTTATTTAGCCAGGAAAAGCTTCGCTGGTATGCAAATATAAACTATTAAAAGTTAAATAGCAGCACACGTCTGAAAACATCACACACACTCACTGCTAAAATGCTGCCACCTGTTGACCAAACTGCATGGCCTAATTCAAACCATTTCCACACTTATCCAATAAATAATACCGTAACTTTAGGAGGATAACCAGATTCTGCTGTAGTTAGGATACACTTAACCACTCAGCCAACTTGTCCTTGAGTGTGGAGCACTTGTTTTGTGTCCACCTCATGTGCAGCTAAAGTGAAAAGTGTGAAGAACTGTGAAATAGCTGTTGAGATTTTATATAAATTGATGGGGCATTATAATAGATTCTAACATGATGAAGTATTTCATTTCAGACTCAATTGTGCAAACTTTTCATTTTAACCTTGGTAAATAACAACCACAGGTCAGACAAAAGTCACCTCTAACTGAATATGGAAACTGTCACACCAGGCTTGTTCGGTAAACCTTTAAATAACTGATACATTTTCAAGATTTTCAAGGCAGGGAAAATGGGAGAGGTGGAGAAAGACAGCCTCCTGATCACAGCAAGAGTGTTTTTCAAGTTTAAATTGTTTCTAAACCAACATTTTTCACCTTTTATATAAATAAAAGGTATCTCTATATTTTATGTATTTGTTGATGTGAAATTCAAATGAATTTAAATTGTTTATAGAGGTAATCACAAATGCATGTTTTTCCACAGACTTCTGCAGGACCAGAAATCTCTTTTTGCAAAGGTACCAAAACTTGATCGTCTTAAAAAGAACGCAGTGTTAAGGAACTTCTGTCAAAGTCAAATAATCTCTTCTTTTAACATTATAAGTTCACTAAACAATCAACATGCAGTTATTTCGATTGGACCATGTGAGAGATCTCGAACAATCCATATACAAAGGCATCTGCAGTTAATAATCCTGCATCAGGTTTATCGAAAAAACTCAAAGTTTTACTTTTTTTTTAGTGAGCCGTTTCAGTCATCTTAGCTTGAACTGAACTGAACAGTGAGCAAATGTTATAGAGGACCTTAATTAAAAACTTAAAAAAAAGAAAAATAACTCCACAAAAGATCTGTTGCAAAAATAAATGTAAAACAATAAAACTTTTTAGCCAGTTTTATTAATTCATTCGTTTTTTGCTAATCATCTGCAGACAGAACTCTAACTGTTTTACCTAGTCCCAACTTACAGAGGTTTACAGGTTACACAGGTACATATTCAGGTTAGGGTGGCTCTGCAGAAAAATAGTTCAGCCACTAAACTGGCCTGCCTGCTGTGCAGCCACGACACCCATTTAGTGTCATCAACTGAAAGCATTGATAGCAACTGGTCTCCATGTTCCCAGAGTGTTGTCAAAATTCTGTACTGCATCATCGTACTACTGTTAAATAAATACAGAATTGAAATCACTGGCAAATTTACAAAGACTTCCAGCTATTTTGGCAACTGGGTTATAAAAGTCAATGTGTGGCCCCTGTCCAAGAAAAGTTTCTCAGTCATCAGCAGGTTTATATCACAAAGACTGTTATTGAAAAAGAAAGAAGAATGTGCAATAAAGGGACGAGGACAAAATAAATGGTCAGTGTCAAAGTGGAGGCTGGGATATATTAACACGTTAGTCACTAAGCTGGTTGACTTTAATGACATATCCAATTTTCTCTATCAAGAAAACTGAAAGTGTTTTTAGGCGTTTTGACAGATTGCCTGGGGTTTTCACCCTTACATGCAAAAGACTTGTTGCACAACATCACCCAATGAAAGGATGTTCGCTCTTAAATTCAGAGAGATATCCCTCTTTTTAATATTATATTTGAATACCCGTAGCTAGGCGTGATAACATCCTCAGTAGTCTGATGTTTTGGGCAGAAATATGGAAAAGTCTTGATGTTCAGACCTTGAACATCGAACATTAGAAATTGATTTGATTTTTTTCACCCTGACATTACTGCTATCATCCAAAAGAAGGATCTTAATCAGAACTGAAACTCAAGATACTGGAGTGTGTTATCAAGAGAAAACCATCAGTTTAAGTCACAGCATGCATTCAAGTCTTGTGCTACCTTGAAAGTTATAGTAAAATCCCATTATGCTCTGACCTGACGGTCAAGTGAACTAGGGTGGCATTCAAGCACGAAGCCATGTTTAGACGTTATCAGATTAACTTAAAAAAGAGTGAATGTATTTAAAAATAAATAAATACAACTCGAGCTTTTTTAAAACTCTTTAACTCATTTCATTGTTTGCACATTCATTACTTGAACTATTCTTTAAATTTCTAGGATACTCATTTTATTTATTTTTATCTTGTTAGAATTTTTATTTTGTTATAGTAGAATTTTTTTTAATGGAATCTGGCAAGATAAGGATTTCATCGAACAATATAATCTCCCTGTGTTTACTTATACATGAAGTCAGAGCAATCACTTTAAAATCACACGTGAAACAGTTCATTCAAACACTCATCTGATACCCAGATTAGCACTGCAGTACACGTTTATCATGTTATCAAGCCTTCGATCTCTTTGCCTGTCATGACCCCAAGCCAAAGGTCTTTCTGGATCTGAATACTGGCTCAGGTCAGGTTAACCGTTTAGTACGCCTGGCCTACCATGGGAAAAAAACCCACTGAATTCAGTATTTCTTCGCTGCAGAGACTGGAAACCATTTTCCTCAATGATAGACTACACTCAGTATTTGTTGAAGGGAGTTTTGATGAATAACTGGCAAGTGTATAAGACAAAAGCTGAACAAAATAGTACAGAGGGACCCATCATGTAAAGACCATGACTGAAAAACTAAAAATGTCAAAATGTGTTTTTCTATCAGAATGACTCTACTCACGGTCGGCGCTGTATTGTGTTGGTAGACTAGCTGGAGCTTCCTCTTGGTTTGTTGCCACTGCTGCTGTCCCATTTCTTTCCTGTTGGGCTTTTTGAATTAGTGCTGCCAGGGGATGATCTGGGTCCAACACCTTAAGAGGCTACAAGACAAAAAAGGCCAGTCCGGTGAAAATAACATTTCACACCATTATGTTGTTTGTTGCAAAGCGATACTAAAACATTTGAGTTCCCGCAAGCATTACATGAGAAAGGAGCATTTAATGCATTAAAATATCTTCAAAGCCCTCTAAAATGGCATGTATTTAAATATCTTGCATTATTCAAATCATACACAGTCATCGTCCTTGTTGTGGTATTACAAGTCTACAAGATTTAAGCTTTAACCCCATGAAACCTTAAACATTAAAATATGAGTCTTCTGTAGAAAATTACAGGGGAAAATCTGATAACGAATCCCTCTTGATGGGAGACAACTGTTAGGCAGCTTCTACTAAAAGAAGCTCATTATGTTTCTTTAAAGAGGCATGCTCCCATTATTGCTGCACAAAGACTAATGGCTCTAATGACAAGGCACATGAAAGCACTAACAACTGAAGTAGCATGAAGACCGGGAAACAGAGTAAAGCTCTAAGATATTAGTCTCAGTAACAGACTTGGGTTGCATTAAAGGCATGTAAATCAATTTTAGATGCCAGATGGTGCTACTGGTTAGAAACGGATCAGTCTTACAGAACACCCCCCACCCCACAAAAACCCCACCCAAAACATTAACTTATGTTCACAAATAAAATTATGCAGCTCAACATTTGAGTATCTTTTCAGAAAAATATCAGCATTATATTTGGCTGAGAAATTTCTCCTATTAATATTCCAGTCGACCTAAAAAGAATTCTGTGGTAACAAGCCTGTTTGTGGAAAACTTTCTACTATAAGAAAAAAAACGAAAGAAAAAATTTACAATACCTTCATTAGCTCCTCCAGGCGAGAGCTCCTTTTAGGGGCAAAAAGGCTGGGATGGAGGTAGCTCCCATCTCCATCATCATCTGAATCATCAGAATCAGATTCTGCAGAACGAAAAAAAACAATGTACAGATGAAACAAATTATTGCCAATAATGAATGTTTTTAGTGTATTCCGCACTGTTTGACTACTTATACGTTGTGATCAATCTAACAATTACACATTAGTTACCGTACGAGACACATGCATATGCAATGTGGTGGATCCAGTGAATGCTTTCTGTAACTCACCCTGCGACTGCTCCTTCTTGCTGTCAGAGGCAACATTGTATCGACCTTCCTTCATGGACCGCAGGATGTATTTGTAATAAGGGTTCAGGTAATGGTCAAAACGAAGGAAGTCAAACTGGGAGTTACCAGACTGCTTCGCTTTCAACACTATCTCAAACTGAGCCCCCTGCTGACAGACAAAGTTGGCCGTCTTCTCAATGATGTTGTGGGTCTTGGTGGTTGCAGGCTACAAAAGAGTCAAGAAATTAAGAAATTGCATTTAAAAATGCAGACAGTTTCTATTATTATATTTCAGTTTCTGAAAAACACACTTTTTTTTTTTCAATTTGCAAAGGAGAAAACGTTTCTCCTTTAAGACACGTGGTGAAAAATTTGTGACAAATAAGCATCGGCACCACAGACGGGGCATTAAGATGCAACACACAGTACACCAAGAACAGAGGCAATTTTGTTACAGAAACATTTTCATGCCCAGCACTCTTATGCTCATTGTGATGACATTAATTCTGAAAATACACATGGGGTGGAAATCAGTGGAACAAGAAATGGTCCATTATTCATTCATTATTGGTCGCCTTGTGTGTTTTCAATGATTAATCTTTGCCAATACCTAGAGAGTACAGAGAAGTGCAGCAGTCTTCCAAAGAATACACATATCCCATCAAGTTGAAAGTCATAATAAATACCACCTTTCAAAACACTGCCAAAAAAAGACTGGCGTCCAACAAAAACAGATCATTATTATCTTTTAAGCTGCCAAGGACTTTCTGACATACACAATCCCTTCTCACTTCCACTTACGAACTTAGCAATTAAGGGAAAAGGATGTTTGGAACTTTTACGTACTTATTTTATCTCATGAAAAAAGGGGAAGAGCATGGTGCCTCGCACCTATTATTCTGCAACACTGTTACCCAAAGAATAGCCATTAGGAATGCCAATGTGAAAGTAATATGTAATGTTTACAACCATATTGTCTCTCAGTTAACAAAGGTTAGTGAGTAGAGATTAATTTGCACCTGTACTTATTACTAGAGCTGTACTAAAATGTGACACCCTGACCTTATCTAAAATGCTCAAAGACATCCTTGGCCAAGGACCTTTTGAGGTAAACTGCTCTGCTCTCTCTCAGTGTTACCTATTATTAAGCTATACTTGTGAAAACAAGGGCAAATCTAATAATCATAAAATAATTAATAACGGCGAATGAAAGTGGAAAAAGTCCACCTTAAGACTACTAAAACAGAACTAATCCAATTAATGGACTGGTAGCTGCTATAATAAAAATGTCTTTTTCATAGCATATGAATAATTTAATTTTACCAGCTTAATAATTTTGAACCAGGCCTTGAATAGTTTCATTAAGAAGCTTGTGAGAAATAAGGCACGTCAAACTGAGCCATGCTCTTATTTTAGTGTGTCACAGACATATTTATCTATCCTTCAGGTAAATATTAGAATCCCATCAGGCTGTGTTGTGAATTTGCCCAATATTCAAGGGCTTCTCCTGGTGATATTCCCTACAAACCAAGGAGTAGAGATTGATAATATATGCAAATCATACAGAGCAGCAGCTATGCTGTGTTTGTATATATGCAAACACAAGGTTGTTTTGATTCTCATATACCCACCATGGTATAATACTGGCATTAAAGCATGCCTTTTTTCACATGCAACATTTGCCGTAGCATTTCCTTAGGGAGGTGTTATGCTTCCCGACATGTGTTAATCCCTGACAGGGGAGAATGACTCTTTTATATTCATCTTTGAAAGAAGGAAAGCAGGAAAAACGCATTCGTTGCTTTCACATAAAAAGACTCTCCCTATACACTGTCACTAATTCCTAAGTGGGATGGATCACTTCTCAACATCTGTGTACAACGGCAGGAGAGACCGACTCTCTTTGCATAGGACAGTGGCTACAGGGAATCATCAGGCTTCTGGCCGTGGATATCAGACACAACAAAGCAACAGAAAATCTTATATTTTTCTATTACTTCAACTGTTTCCTTCTTTAGATGGTATGTCAATGTGAAACATTATCTTTTGGCACAGAAGTGTTTTTTCACAAACAAAAACTATGTGGCATTCTGCCTCAGAGTAAGGCTGGACAGCCATACAATTTTAGGACAAAATCCCCTTTCAGCAAACCCCTGTGAAACTCACAGATTTTCAACTTATTGCAGAGTCAGTTAATTGGGTCATTTCTGTTGCTTTGGTTTGCGTGTTATATAGAAATTATTTGAATCTATGATTCAAAAACAAAGGCAGACAACACAACATAAATCTATCGTTAAGACACATGTAGAATGTCGTGACATCACATTTAAACATAGAGCACACTGTACATACAGCTCATTTTGAAAGTCTACAGATCATTAAGTTTTCTGCATAGTTAGTTTATTCACTGAAAATAAATGCCTGAATTTGTTTTTATATGAAGTATTCGGATCCTTCCCATATTACTTGGTTAAAGGATTTTGGACAGACTTAAATCTTCTTGGGAATGATTCTACAAGCTTGGCACACTTCTCATTTTGAAGTGTTTTCAACTAGTAAGTAAGTGGCAGCCATAATAAGAGGCAGCTGAATTCTCTGAATACAAAAGAAAGGCGCTTCAGTATTTTCTTTATTAGCACCTTTAGCACAGGCTACACCAGCCTATTCTTCATGAAGGAAAGGGAGATACAATTCAAAGTGACCACCACTCGATCATCTACAAAAGCGAATGATCAGCATGTCTGACAAGGTTGCAAATCGGCACATGAATTACATTTCCAGCTCATCACATTAGCTAGTATTCTGATTTTGTTTTGTTTTCTAAAGCAAAGTAACCTAGCCCCAGCTTGGTTTTCACTCTGACACGCCATCATCTGTGAGCTCACTACTTATTGTGAAAGTAGCGAGCATTTGTTAAGTGTGTACAGTATTTTTGTTTATTAAATATTGTGATAATAGGATTTTGAAAATGGTTTTTTGGTCTGTGAGAAAATGAGAATGAGAAAAAGAAAAGAATGAACTGAACTCATTTAAAGATCCACCTAAAAAGACAGAAAAAGTCAGAGTTTCAAGAAACGAAGCAGAATATCTAACACTCACCAACTCCACATCAGGAGGGATAGAAAGCCCTGCGGGAGCAACGAATGGTTCTTCACTCTCTTCAGGCTCTGCCTCCTCTACACAAATGAAGGGACATGAGAATGAAAAATAAATATACCGATAAACAGATTAACTTTTGACAATCATCGGCAACAAAAAACTAACAAACCCCACTTTATATCTACCCAGTTCAGCAATAACATTAAGATTATTTCTGAACTCCTAAAACATTTTAAAAATGGATGAAACTCATGCCCTCTACCAACCTCCCCACTACACAAATACATCAAAGCAAAACAGCACTCTAGCCTTTACCTTCATCTTGATGACAACATACAGGTCAGGTGGAAACGAGCTTAAATATTTACCCAGGTACTGTAGGGAGTTTGCTCCAATAAGGGGTCCTTTATATTAACAAAAGGCATCTCTGAAGCAATTAAAAAAGAAAAAAAGCAATGCTTATGGATTCCACTTGGGTGCATGTGGAAGGTGTGCCATGGCAACAATATGTAATCGACAGGCTTATAAAGGGCTATACAGTAAAAGCAATAAAAAAGCAATACTGTTCAATATAGTTATATAATAGCACTGTTATCAGGGTTAAACTACTTGCACCTTTATAATATAGCTTGTTCTTAAATCTTATATAAAGTAAATCTCATTGGTAATTACACATTAAAATAAAAACCATTGAAACGGATCATTTTTAATGGGAAGTCCAGCATTGTCTTTATTTAAAGCCACACTACAGAGTAGCTACTCAGTGAAGACAGAGTGAATTATTTAAATAACCTCAGCAAAGAGATACTGCTTATTCAAATTAGCTTCCTTATTTTGACAGGATGTTAAACTAATTGGTATATTGTGAAATGACTGGCTAATGATTGGTGTGGGGTTTAACAGAGAGGCTAACAATAAGACGCATTTATCATGTTTTGACAGAACACGTAATAAACTGTACTGAATTTAACCTTCTGGTTTGGCTATCAATCAGAACCAAATAATTGAAATATAAATCCAAAAAATTGATTCTGTTCATCTGGACGTAGCGTTTTCAGAAGGAGAAATGTTTCGTCACTCATCCAAGAGACTTCTTCAGTCTCAGCTGACTGCAGGTGAAACCACTGATCAGCCAACTCTTTGTGGTAATCATGGCCATTTGTCATTGATCAATGGTCTTTGATCGGTGGCTGTTAATCAATGGTCATGAAACTGACCTCACAGCCCATTGTTTGTCAGTGGGCTGGTTTCAGTCATTATGGAACTGTACGGTTTATAAGGTTGGGAAACCTGCAGTCAGCTGAGACTGAAGAACTCACTTGGATGAGTGACGAAATGTTTCTCACATTGAAACACAATCAACACAAACACAATCAACTGTTTGGGATTTCCTTACCTGAATGACTGAACTTGGTATATTACTGTGATATATTTCCTTAAGCGCTAATGCTCTCTTTGGTAAGAGGGAAGTTCTTGACCACTTTTTTATTAATGTTTCAGAGTTTAAATAGAGCTCGACTCAAACTAGATCAAATGTGAGACCTTTCTGACTTTTTCCACGAAGTCACCCTCTACAGGCATCTGAATCTTTAGCAGATGTTTGAATACCATGGGGTCAGCTCTACAAATTCACCAGAGACACAGAGAGGCATCTAGTCTGCTTAACTAGTCTGTGTGTATATCAGATATTTAAAGCAGAAGTAACTGTGTCAGGGTCAGTGTCTATCTTTTAGGAAGCAGTCTTATTTTTTTTTTCTTTTGAGCATGAGGATGTTTGGGAAGTCATTCCAGACATGACAAGGGTGTGTTGGAGGGCAAAGGGTCTGTTTAGATGACATTTGGGAAAAAGACTGTTAGTTTAACCTCCTAGGACCTGGCGTCCACATATGTAGACATCACATTTTGGGTTATTTAGACCAAAATACTCAATTTTGCTCTATAAGGGCCTGAGATCCACTTACGAGGACATTATACCGCTACTCTTCTATCAAAATTTTAAACAAATATCCTCATATGTGGCTCTCATTTTTCTTAGAAACAAAAATCAGGTAAAAAAATAAAAATAAAATCTGGTAATTCTTTGTTTTTACATTCATTGGGTCCCAATCAGCCCAAATATCAAAGAGAAATCAAAAATGCATGCCGTGGAAGAGTTCGGGTCTTAGGAGGTTAAGGTTTGCACAAGGGAGCAGGGAATCCATGAAGGCTCCTCACAAAATAAGTCATAACAAGAAGTCACAAACAGATAGAGGACTAAAAGTAACACAGATGGTGCGAGGTGATTACATGAGGTGATATTCTAGTGCAATGCTGAATTTTTTGCACATTTGTCATGAGCTTTTTTTTGGGCAAAAAATAAACTTCAGCAAACGCCTCAAGTGTATGAATGGGCAGATGGCTGTTTGGATTAAAAAAAGTTGGTTTTTGTAAATGTTATATATCAGAAAGAGCTGCTGTGTTCTTCACAGCTGACTGCAGCACACACAATCAACTACAATTCTAGACGTGACACAGAGCCCACGGTAACTACATTACTCTGGGAAGTTGTGATGAGTTCTCACCTGATTCCTTGTTAGCAGCATCCTCCTCCTCAGTGGGCTGAGAGGGGTCATAGTAGTCAGCGCTGTATTTAAAAGCCACGGCGTTGTAAGAGCCTTCATCAGCCAGAGCCTCACTCAGACGTTTATACTCCTCCTCTGTGAGGGATTAGGAAACACACATAATCAGGAAAAAAAAAGAGACTGCAATGTTGAAGAACACTTTAAACTAGTCTGCACAAACTGATGATGACTTTTGATTTTGATGAAGGACATCTATCTGTGAAGATAACGAATGTTACTCTTTTTAAGTTGATACTGTGTCAGTTTTAATTAGATATACAGTATACAGACGTGTAGTGGATGAAAAATTAAACAAAACAATGACGCAGTCCTGTCTTGTGTGTTGATGAGACCAAAATAAAACTTTGTGGTTTAAATGAGAAGCATTCGTTTGCATTATTTACTGCATAGGTAGTAAGGTAAGGTAGAGTAAGAACCTCCTGCTTCCCATCTTTGAAACACAGAGGGGTTAGAAGTGTCATCGTATGGATCTTTGTGTGTCACGCTTGGGCCAAAACAACAGACCATCATTAATAGAAAAGAAAAGGGAATTCTGAATAACACCAAGGAACACTAAAAGAAAATGTCAGGATGCTTGTCTGAGCTGAATCTCATGAGAGAGTTGGTCATGCACAAAGAAAGGTACCTTTTGCACACAAATCAATTGTACAAAGAAAGGTAAAAGATGAATTGGAGTGAGTACAACCCCAACTGCCCTCCGAAATTGGGATGTTATATAAAATATAAATAAAAACAGAACACAATAGCTTGTAATTTCCATAAACACATATTTCATTCATAATAGAATATAAAAAAATATCAGATGTTTTAACTGAGAAAATATTACATTTTAAGAATAAAACAAGGTCACTTTGAATTTGATGGAAATGACGTATATCAGAAAAGCTAGGGTCAGGCTGTGTTTATCACTGTGCAGCATCCCCTCTTCTTTTTCACGCCCTGGAGGACGGGGCTGTGGCCCCCCCACACCCTCTAGCAGATTATTACATGAAGGAACCTTTTAAAAAAACAAAAAACAAGCGCGTCCATGCTCACAGGTGTACACACGGGTGATCACACCCACAAACTACACCCTTTTTGGCTCCTACCTCAAAGCACACTGTGTTCTGTTGATCTTATGTGCTGCACAATAATGTTTAACATTTAGTATTTACTGTCATATTCCCATATATCATTGTGATGTTGTTTATTCTATTACTCTTGTTCTCTTCTGCTTGCTCTCTTTTTTCTTTCTCAGCAGGTGATCCAGGTGATTGATATATGCATTTTTTTTCTCTGCCCGTTCTGTTGGTTTTTGTCTTTTGCCCTTCTCCCCCGTCCCTCTTCTCAGCTGTTTCTCTTTCCCTCTTTCTTTCTCCCCTTCTTTCCCCCAGTCAAGTCTGTCCCGTATTCAGTAAGTGAAAATAAAATAAACAATAAAAAGGTGAATCAAATGGACCATTACGGCAAGGCTGGGATGGTCAGTTTGGTAAAGTAAATCCGTTGGGCATCTTTCTTTGCCTTTAGACAACAATTCTGATGGCAAAAGAGCCAAACGGGACAGGCCAAAAGAAAAAAAAAAAAAAAAAAAAAAAATCTCATATCGCCCAGCTCTACTTCCAAGACTGGTGGTGCCTTTCAGATGTGCAACATGTCAACTCAGCCGCCCCCTTCAGAGATACAGGCTTTTGGACTGAATGCTGGCAGTCCATTTGAACTGAGTTTAGGCTCAGGGGAGATGGCAGCATTTCCGGATCACATTAACATCATGTCTATTTTTAATGCAGGGGCACCTGAGGGTCCAAAGATCACAGGCATCTAGGGCTGCCACGATTAGTCGACTATTAAAATTGTCGACGACTGATTTAATAGTCGACGCTTCGTTTGAAGCTTTGTAAGATCACAAAAGACGCTGGAATAAGTAGTAGGGTTTAAGAGTGTAATAACGGACTGAAACAGAAGATGGCAGCACTGCATGTACAAGGATGCCAGAATTCATAGCGCAGCCCAGCTCAGTTTCCAACAATGGCGGCAGCTAGTTAGTTTTAATATTACTCTTATTATTCTTTCTGGGTCACAAAATAAACATTTAACATATTTTCAGGCGAGAATGTAGCTGTGTAAACCTCAAATATCTGCTCAGTTTATCAAGACACCACATATTTTCAAAAGCGCTCCGACGTTTTCGGAGACGTCTGTTACCCACTAGCTCAATAGCTAGCCGGGGGCTAGGCTCACTAGAGCCGTGAGAACACCGGACTCCCGGCAAATCATTTTCAAACCCACCGCTGTCTTTCGCTACTCAGGTTAAATATACATAAGTCACTTAGATAACTTAAAAATGTTATTGTTTGGCTTTTTTCAGTATTTTATTTGTTCCTGAGTAAATCGGTTTGGCTGAGATCAAAGTTATAGTTTTTACACAGCTGAATAAACGTCAAGCAGACAGCTGATTATCAGAAGTGTGAGATGCTGGAGAATATACTCCGGTGTCCTGTTATATTTTAGATAGCAAGGAGTTTATTAAACTTCACCGAAACAATCTGCAAAATTCATTAAACTTTAATAAACTATCATCGTGTCTTTATTTTTAGTTAGCACATACCTTAAACACTTAAAGCTGTAAACTAATGATAGTTATATAAGAGCAGACTCATGCTGGTGCAATAAGCTGTACGTTTAACGTCCAATGGATGATGATCTGATTAGTCGACTAATCGCAAAAATAATCGGTGACTAGTCGACCATCAAAATAATCATTTGTGGCAGCCCTACAGGCATCCATTATTTATATCTGGCATTGTCCCTTGCGCACAGAGATTTCTTCTGATTCTCATAATGATATTATCTACCGTATATAATAAGATTTTAAAAGTCTTTTATGATTTTATGTTAAGAGACATCATTGCAACATTACTGTTCCACAATTTGTAGAGAGAGTTTATCAGCCGATTGGTGAATGTCTGTCCATCTTTACTTCTGAGAAACCCTGCCTCTCTAAGATGTTCTTTCTCTAACCAACGATGCTACAGATCTGTTACCAGTTAACCTAATTAGTTGCAAAATGTTCCTCCAGCTGTTTTTTTTTAGTACCACTTACTTCTCCAGCTTTTTGTGTCCTCTCTCCCAGCGTTTTTGAGATGCCTTTCTGCCATCAAATTCAAAACGAGCTAATATTTTTCGTAATGTTGTACGATACTGTTGTTAATTGTTTTTGTGTACTTTTAGGACATACTCGTGCAGATATATAGAAAACTTTAACAGGCTCACAAAATTCTTCTTACAATTGTCCTTTAAAACCTAATGTTTATTTATTCTGGTTTGAAAACTTAACATATCTTCCCTTAGTTTGGTTGCTTTTCACCCAGAAAATAAATATATATGAACTAAATTGCATTTTAAGAGCCACTGAAGAACGTTTACTCCACTCCGAGATGAAAGCAACAACCTATACATACATACAGCTGGCAAGCAGTGCACAAATGGCTTGTTGAAGGACTGTACTTAAGTGTGTCTCAGTAGCCTCTGTATTTATTTTTATATA